CGGTCCTTGTCCCCATTCCCGGCCCCCCCACAGCCCCTCAGGCCCCGCCCTCCAGCGCCCCCCGCTTCAGCGCCTCCGGCGGCGCGGTCCAATCCCGTTATCCCGCCGCGCCACCGCCTCGCTCCTATTGGTCCGAGGAGCTGAGCTACGTGCGGCGGAGCCAATGGGCGGCGCGGTCGCGACCGGGGGCGGGACATCCTGCGTGCCGTGCGGTGCGGGCCGCCCCCGCCGCCTGCCCGGTGCTGCCGCGGCCTGGGCTGGGCCTGCCCGCGCCCGGTGCCCCCCGCGCCCCCCGGTGCCGCCATGCCACACAGCTTCAAACCCGGGGACCTCGTCTTCGCCAAGATGAAGGGCTACCCGCACTGGCCGGCCCGGGTGAGACCGCAGGGCCGCGCCGCGGGGGGACGGACTGGGAGGGGGGCGGGGGTCCCGGACGGGGATAGGGGCGGGATCGGGAGGGGGGACTGGAGACGGGATGGGGACGCGCACTCGCCCCTGTCCCCGGAGCGGAGGCCCTGCCGGGATGGAGATGCCATAACGGTACCTGTACCGGGATGGGGATCCCGTACCGGGATGGGGACACGGTACCGGCGTGGGAACACGTAGCGGGATGGAGATGTCATAACGGGACCCGTACCGGGACGGGACGCCCTGTACCGGGATGGGGAGCTGGTACTGGGGTGGACATGCTGTAACGGTACCTGTATCGGGATAGGAGGGTCTGTACCGGGATGGGGACCCGGTACGGATGGGTGTCCCGTTCAGGATGGGGGACCTATATCGGTATATCATGGAACGTGAGCCGGTGGTGACATGAGGGACCTGTCCCAGCACTCAGACTGGGATGTGGGGTCACATCCCAGCACCCATCCCTGTACTGGGATGGGGCCCGGTGTCAGTGCGGGGTGTCCCATTCTGGGATGAGAGGTCCCATTCCAGCACCCCTACTGAGAGGGGACCCAGCACTGGAATGGGGTGTCCTGTACCGGAATGGGGGACCCCATACCAGCAACTGTACTGGGATGAGGGCCCAGCACTGGCTCAGAGATCCTGTATGGCAGCTCAGTACCGAGGTGGGGTCCTACACTGGGATGGGATCCTGCACCCTGGGGTTCTGTCCCTTGTTGGGGACACTGAGCGGACACTCTGGGTGTGACATGGGTGTGAGTGCCCACGGTGCGGGATCAGCGGGTGCTGCTGCGCTTTGGGGGCGTTTTTTGGGATGCTGGAGCGTTTGGGGAGCGGGACAGCGTCGTGCCGCAGTGCTCCTGGAGAGCGGGAGCTGCTTTGGGATGTGCTCAGCTGCGGGGGATGCTTGGGGGCTCTGCGGGGTCAGCCGAGGGCGTGGCAGCTTCATCCACTGCCCTTGGATGGGAAGAGACTGGCAGGTGGACCCGTGTGGGATCGGGGAGCTCAGGGGGCCGGAGCTGACACCGCTTGGCTGCACCTCGCCGTGAGACCCGGGACTGCCGCTTCTGCCAGGACAGCCCCTCTGCTTTAGCTCGCTTGCTTTTTTTGGGGAAGGGTCCCCCCGCCCCGAAGACCTCCCCAGCACCCCCTGCACACCCCGAGGCTCCCCCTGCTCGCCCGGAGCACAGAAGACAGACGGGGTGTCCGGCCGGCAGCGGGGCTTTTCCTGCGGACCCTGCGGCCACTCATCCACCGCCCCCCGCCCGCGCTGCCGGGCTCCTGGCCATGGATCCCGGGCGAGTAGCACAAAGCCCACGTTGCCCACAAGACCTCGGTGCTGGATCCTTCCCGTTTCTCTGGTAGAGATCCCGCAGGGACTCGGACCCGTAGCCAGGGCCCCGTCCGGGTGCTTTCCTGCCGCGCTTGGCTCCAAGCGGGTGCCGGACCCGACGCCGCTTGCCGGGGCTGAGGACGTGTCAGCGCTGTCTCTGACCTCCTGCTGCTTTGGGTTTCCTTTCAGATCGATGACATCGCGGACGGCGCCGTGAAACCCCCCCCGAACAAGTACCCCATCTTCTTCTTCGGCACCCACGAGACGTAAGCGCTGCCTCGCTCCCCCCGCCGGGCTCTGCCCCCGCTCCGGCCTCACCTCTGCTTTGTCTCTCTCCAGCGCCTTCTTGGGCCCTAAAGATCTGTTCCCTTACGAAAAGTACAAAGACAAATATGGGAAACCAAACAAGAGAAAAGGATTCAACGAGGGCTTGTGGGAAATCCAGAACAACCCCCACGCCAGTTACAGTGCCCCTGCGGTGAGTGTGGGCTGGGCAGGGCATGGGGCCGCTGCCCCTGCGTCCCCCCGAGTCACTCCTCCTGTCTCTGCTTCTCCTCGCTGCCGTGCCGATTGCTTCCAGCTTCCAGCTTGGCTTCCTTTGGGTGGAATTTGCTCCCCTCTCCTTCCCTGCCCTCTCCTTTCCTCAGAGAGTCTGCTCTCCTCATCTTCCTCCGTGGAGGGGTTTCCCTAGGGCTTCCAGGAGCGCTGGAAGTTCCCGCTTGCTCTGGAGGAAGGTGCTTCTGTCCTGTTGTGGATCTGGAGTCGTGTTTTGTGCTGCTTGCCCAAAATCGTGGAGATTTTGTTGTCAGAGCAAGAACTTGAGGCTTGCTCATCCTTGGCTCCTGCATCTGCTCGTGGACTGTTGGGAAGTTCCCTTCTCCATCCATTCCTGAGGTTCCTGAGCCCTCCAGCAGGATTTGGAGCGGGCCAGGCCAGGGAACAGCTCTTTGTCAGCTGCTCGTGGGGGCATCTCATGACCATAATTGGGATCCAGTTTATTCTGTAAAGATCATCACAGGAGGCATTGGCTTCGTAGGCAGTGGGGCTGAAGAGGCAGAGGAAGGTTTGTAGGGTGGGCAGCAAGGTCGAGGTGGTCCCTGGAGATCAGCAGCTGCAGGGATTGAGCCCTCCAGGCCTCATGGTCAGGTAGGAGTGAGGATGTGGTTTGAGGGGCAGGGGTTGGGAATTGGTCCACCCAGAACTGTGGGTGTAGGGTGAGGTGAGGCTCTGGAGGTGCTTGAAAACTTGGAGATTGGTGTGGTGAGGAAGGAAGCATCTGCCATGGCCTGGAATCTGCTGGGAATCCCATCAGAGATGAGGGACCCAGCGAGGCTGAGGGTTCACCAACACCCACCCACCCAACATCCTGTGGGCAAAAGGAGCAGCAGAAGACCCTGAAGTTCCCTTGGCTTTGAGACCTAAGTGGAGAGAGGTGCCAAGAGCAGCCAAGGGTGAGGAGAGGCTTTGCAGCAGTTGGAAGAACCCGGCTCTAGGAATGTCAGTGCTGCCACACACAGAGGAGCAGGCCAGAAGATGAAGCTGGGATGTGATGTGCCCGTGTGAGGAACCTCCCGATGGGCTGGAGAAACAAGGAGACCTTCAGGGAGCAGGACACAGGAGATCCCACCTGGGAAGAGCACAGTGGCCACCTGGACTCCTTGTGTGGACCTTTCCTGTGGGGAAGGTGTGTGAAGAGGACAGAGAAAGCCAAGTGGAGGCAGGAGAGGCTGAACGCAGCCACCACCGCAGCTTGTCTGGCGCCGTCAGGGCAGAGGAGGGCTGGGCTCTGCTCGGCTCCAGGCTGCTCCAGGGATTTTTGCAGGGCATGAGGATGGGGGGAAGAGGGCAGTGAGGCAGCAGCACCCCCGGGATGTGTCACTGCCAGAGTGGTGTGTGAGGGGCTGTGGGAAGGGGCACAGCGTTCCCCAGGAAGGGCTGGTGGTGTTGTCCAGAGGGATCCGTGCTGGCAGGTGAGCCTGCCGTGCCCTGCTCTGCACACCCAGCTCTGCCCTCCTTCCCTCCCCACCCTCTCTGCCCCCTCTCCCTCCTTTCCTGCCCCCCAAGTGCCCCACAAATCCCCCCTAACCCCGCTGTCCTCCCGCTGCCTTCAGCCCGCCAGCTCCTCCGACAGCGACGTCCCCGAGAACGACCCCATGGCGGGGAGCGACGCCGGGGACGACGAGGACGACGCTGCCATGGCCACGGTGCCCACGGAGAAGGTGGACAGCGATGAGGACTCGGAGCCAGGCAGCGACCACAGCGGGCTCAAGAGGAAATCCTTGGCCATGAAAGTGAGTATGGGCTGGGGACAGCCACAGGGGACACTGTGGCTCCATCACAGAGCTTTTCTTGAAGCCACCTCAGCAGGAGGTGGTGGAGAAACCATCTCCTTCTGGATTCTCCAGTGGGAAATGGGGCTCAGCGTGGTCTTGGGGGTCTCACAGCTGTCTCATGATGCCTGTGGGGTGGTGGGATGGCCGGTCCTGGCGGGGTTTGCAGCCTGGAGGAGGATCCAGAGCTGCAGATCTGACTGCAGTTCTTGCAGGGCCGGTTGGGGAGAGTTGGAGAAAGCCCTTCCCAGGAAATGTTTGCTTTCCATGGTGGGTGGAGAAGCAATGGGCTTCTCTCATCTCGTTACCTCTCCTTTAGCAGATGCCTGTGACAAAAAGGCCTCGGAAATCCTCCAGTGACCTGGATCAGGGCAGCCCCTCTGTCACAGAAGAGGAGAACTCAGAAACGTCTTCTGAGTCAGAAAAAAACAGTGACCAGGTGAGAGGATCTGGGGATACACTGGCAGGGTGGTGGGGAGAACATCCCTGTGGGAGTGGGGCAGAGGCTGGAGACAACCTGACTGGCTTGATACCGTGATGACACCGTTCCACATTTGCTCATATTTGTGTTTTCCTCCAGGATTTCACTCCTGAGAAGAAGCCAGTGGCCCGGGCCCCACGGAGGATGCCAGCAGCAGGGAGGAAGAAGAAGGTAAAGGACCCCTAATCTGAGGGACGCTGGAGAGGAGTCGGGGTCTGCACTGTGAGGAGAGGGGAGCTGGGGGTGACAGGGCTGTGCCCTGAGCTGCAGCACCTGCAGGGCCCTCGCTGATCTCTTGGTGACCTGCTGGGGTCCGGGACCATCACAGGGTTTGGGGCAGTGCCACCCTCCATCCCAGCTCCGCTCTCTGCCTGCAGAAAGTGGAGTCTGGCTCTGACTCTGACTCCAAAGTGGACTCGGATCTGGAGATGGGCAATGCCACCGTGGACATGACCAAGTCAGACTCGGACTCGGACTCAGACGTGTCGGTGAAAAAGGCACCACGGGGCCGTAAGCCAGGTACCCCCGGGGCTGCTGCTGCTCCTGCCTCTGCTCCTGCTCCTGCTCCTTCCCCTGCTCCTGCTCCTTGTCCTGCCTCTGCTCCTGCTTCTGCTCCTGTTCTTGGTCCTGCCCCTGCTCCTGCCCCTGCTCCTGCCTCCACCTCAGGGTGGGAGTGTTCGAGCTTGGGCATTCCCAAAGCTCTGGGGTCCTATCCCGAATTGTGGGAACATTCCAGAACCCCTCTGCCTCTGCAGCTTGGGGCTGTTTTAACAGAGAGAGCTCCAGGGCTCCTGCTGAGCAAATCCCTGTTGTCTTGCAGCTGAGAAACCCCCTCCCAAGCCCCGGGGCAGGAAACCGAAGCCCGAGCGTGTCCCCAGCAGCTCCAGCAGTGACAGGTGAGCTCAGCCGGGACATTGTCACCCCTGGGCTGGGCTGGGGTCACACAGGGGTGTGACAGGGGTGCCCTGTCCTGGCAGTGACAGCGACAGCGACGTGGATCGCATCAGCGAGTGGAAGAGGAGGGACGAGGAGCGGCGGCGGGAGCTGGAGGAGAAGAGGAAGAGGGAGCAGGAGGAGGAGATCCGGCGGCTCCGGGAGCAGGAGAAGGAGGAGAAGGAGAAGAGGAAGGAGAAGGCAGAGAAGGGCGAGGAGGTGCACTCGGACTCGGACAGCAGCGCCGAGGATGAAACGGCCAAAAAAGGCCGGAGGGGCCGGGCCAAGGCTGCATCCTCCTCAGACTCTGAGCTGGAGCAGGAGAAGGAGGTGAGTGCTGAGCCGTGGGGGCCTGGAGGTGGGAGGAGAACCTGTCACCCCACTGTGAGGCCATCAGGCACCTCCAGGAGTGGCAGGGACCTGCTCTCGTGGTCTTGGGTTACCCTGCAGCTGCCCACACGGTGTTGGGAAGGGTTGTGTCCATGGAACATCCATGTCTTGGAGTGGGAGCTCTTCCTCTGGCCCAGGATGCCTCATCCAGCTGTGGGCCTCACATCTGGCACAGGGTGCCCAGAGCAGCTGTGGCTGCTCCATCCCTGGCAGTGTCCAAGGCCAGGCTGGACGGGGCTTGGAGCAGCCTGGGACAGTGGAAGATGTCCCTGCCATGGAATGGGATGGATGAGCTTTATGTTCCCTTCCATCCCAAACCATTCCATGATCTCCCAGATGCTCTTCCAGTCACAGGGCTTTGCTCCACCGTGCCCCTGGAGCTTTTGGGAGCATGTAGGGTGGCCATGTGCCATGGGGTGATGCTGTGCCATGGCAGTGGGGTGACTGTGGGGTGACCGTGTGCCATGGGGTGATGCTGTGCTGTGGGGTAACCATGTGTCATGGGGTGTGGGGTGCCCCTGGGCCCTAGGGGTGGCTGTGGGGTGGCTTTGGGGTGGCCATAGGTGCCGTTGTGGCGTGGCTGTGGCTCTGTCTGTGCTGCAGCAGGGAGGGCCCTGCTGCTCTCCCTGCATTGTTCTCTCCTCCAAGGTAAAGAAGCCGGTGAAGAAACAGCCCTCGGAGTTGTCAAGGAAACCAAATCAGAAGGAGAAGAGGGGCCGAGCAGAGGAGAAGCCACGGAACAAGTCAGCATCTGCACATCTCCCTCCCTCCCTTCCTCCCTCCTCTTTGCTCCTGGCAATGGGGCTGTTCCTGCACAGCTCCAGCCCCAGCACCCCAGGGTGGGAATGGAGCTTGTGGGGCTGCAGCACCTGCAGAGGGGCTGGGCTTGTTTCTCCCCTGCTCCTGAGCTGGAGGGACTGGAGGGGCTGTTGGGGGTTACCAGGATGAGATTCCGTGGTGTTTTCTTTCTCGTGGGGCACAGGGGAGCTGTGTCCAGGGTGGAGGGGTCTTGGGTGCTCTGGCCAGTGCCATCCCTGTGTTAGCCCAGTGGTGAGCAGGGGGTTCACCACAACCACCTTCCCTCTTTCCTTCCCTTCCCACAGATCTCTGAAGGTGGAACGAGGCCGGAAGAAATCCGACCCGATCCCCGAAAGGAGGATGGAGAAGAAAAAGGGTGAGGGAGCCACTGCTTTCCATCACAGAGGGGAGGAGAGAGAGGGGAGGGTTCCAGGGTTGGTTCCCCCATCCCTGGGACAGGGAGGGATCGGTAAGGTTGTGCCAGGGTTTTTCCCAGCACTGCTGTGATCCCAGGATCACTTCCCTGGCGTCCCCAGCCCATCCTCTCCAGAGACATTCCCGGAGCTGTGCTCAGCTTTGGAAGTGCAGGAGGACACAACCCCTGCCTGGAGTGATTCCAGAGCAGATCCTGGGCTCTGGACAGGGTCGTGGGCTCTGCTGGTGCCCTGACATCTCAGCCTGTGTCTCTCTCTCTGCTCCAGAGCCCACAGTGGAAGAGAAACTGCAGAAACTTCACAGCGAGATCAAGTTTGCGCTGAAGGTCGATAACCCGGTGAGTGCCGATGGCCTGGCCTGGCCTGGGACATCCCTGCTCGTCCTTGCCTGGCTGTGATAGCTGGGAGTGCTCCTCCTCCTCCCTCTGGGGGTGCTGGGAGGCCCCAGGTGCCCCCAGAGCAGCTCCTGATGCCGGTGCCATCCGTGCAGGACATCAAGCGGTGTCTGAACGCGCTCGAGGAGCTGGGCACGCTCCAGGTCACTTCCCACATCCTCCAGAAGCACACGGATGTGGTGGCTACACTCAAGAAGGTAGAGCTGGGGCTGAGCCCTCCCTGGGGGAGCAGGGAGCCTGCCTGGCCCCAGCTCTAAGGGCTCCTTCCTCCTGCTCCCCCGGGGCAGATCCGTCGCTACAAAGCCAACAAGGACGTGATGGAAAAAGCGGCCGAAGTCTACACCCGGTTGAAGTCGCGTGTGCTGGGACCAAAGATGGAATCCATCCAGAAAGCCAACAAAGCTGGGCCTGAGAAGGACAAGGGGGAGGCAGAGAAGGGCCAGGAGAAGCTGTCGGGAGCAGAGACACGGAATGAGAAGGGGGAAGAGGAGACAAATGCTGGTAACATTCCTGAGCACCCCTGTCTGGGCAGGTCATAATCCCCTCCTTGGGGCATGCCCCGTCCTGCTGGGGACATGGGACATGGGGAGGTGCCTGTTGGCTTCGTGGTGGAGGAATCAGCACCTCCAGGCCTTGCTTTGCTGCAGTGCCAGGAGTGGGAAAGGGCTGGATGGGGAATGCAGTGAGAGCAGAGGGCAAACCTCGAGCCCCACACCCAGGCTCTGGGGGCCTCCATGCTGGTTTTTGGGCCAGAACAGCTCCCTGCCAGCCCGAGCTCTGGTCTGGGCATGAAGGAATATGGAGATGTCCTTGAACACTGGCTCAGGCTCTTGCACAGGGAGTGGTGACTGGGATCTTCCACCCTCGGATCCAGGTCTCTGCCTGGGGCGTCCTGGTGATGCTGCAAGAGCCTTCCCAGAGGAGCTGACAGGGAAAATCCGCCCTGACGGTGCCTCTGGGCTGGGGGATGGGGATTTTGGGGCCCTTCTTGCTGCTGTGGGAGTCAGGCCAGTCCTGGAGTCCCTTCAGGCTCAGCTGCACTTCCAGGGACCACCTGTGGCCATGGATCCTCAGCCCACAAGGGTCGGGATGCATGAGGGGATCCAAGAGCCTGAGCCTCTCTCTCTTCCCTGCAGACCTGTCAGGTCCTGTGAATGGTGAATCCCTGTCCCAAAAGTCAGAAGGCACAGAGGAGAAGGACAAGAGCCAAGGGCCAGGAGTTGGGGAGCTGGAGGCATCCACAGAGGAGCCCCACAACAAGTGAGTGTGAGGGGCAGGGCTGGGGCCCCTGTGGTCGCTGGGCTCTGCAGGGATGGTTTGAGGACATCTTGTGGGTTGGGAAAGGGTTCTGCCAGCTTGGGAAGGAGCTGGGATGTGGAAGAGGGGCCGGGGGGAGGCAGAGGAGCAGGGAGCTGAGCTCTCCCTGCCCCTGCTCTCCCCCAGCAGTGTCCAGGATTATCCCAAGGCCGGGCCCGAGAGAGCTCACGGGGAGTCGGAGGCTGCGGATGAGGAGGAGGAGGAGAGCTGAGGAAGCAGCTCCCAGCTGGAGGAGGAGGAGGAGGAGGAGGAGGAGAGGCTGTGAAGGGAGAGCAGCCTGTGCCTCGTCCCCTGCCTGAGTCACTTCACTAAGTCCCACCGTAGCCGATGTCCTTGGTCTTGTCCCGTGTCCTGTCCCTGCGGAGGCACCACCCGCGGGGGGGCTGTGCTGGTGTCTGTATTTGTCCTCCCCACCTTGTTTTCGATTTTTTTTTTTTTTTTTTTTTTTTTGTTTGTTTGTTTTATTTTTTTCCCCTCCTACCTAATTTCTTGTGATTTCAACCGACATAAAATGAATATAAAGGGTTTTCTAATGAAAAACAGAAGGAACCCCAGTGTCTCTTTCTTGAGGCTGGGACAAGGGATGGACCTTAACCCCCTGCCCAGGGTCAGGGCTAGAAAACACCCCTGGGTCGCCAAATGCCCTCTGGCCAGGATCAGACACTCAGGGGCTGCTCCAAGCCCCTTTCCCCACCATCATGATCCTCTCTCCATCCAGAGGCAGCTGCTGGAGCCGGATCCCTCTGCCTCAAGGGTGGCAGCAGGGCTGGGCACCGACTTCTTGGGGTAAAACCAGCGTGGAAAGGGTGTGTTCTGTCCTAACTGTGCCAGTTCGGCCGTGCTGGGCAGCAGCTCCGTGTTGGGCTCTTTGCTCTTTTGCAACACCCCCGAGCTTTTGTCCGTGTCCAATAAAGAATTCCCGGCTCCACCCGGTGCCGCCTCCTTTTTGTGCCCCGACCCCCGGGGGAGGATGTCCCGACCCCCCCCTCACAGGCTGCAGTAACTCTGCCCTGGGGACATTTCACTTTTGCTTTTTCCAGGCCTGTTTTCACACTCGCTCCTCCGTAAACAAGACCTAAATAAAGCCCAAAACAACTCGAGTGCCTCTTGCCCAACTGCTGGGAAGTGGGAGGCCCCCACTGGTCCCACTGCCAGGTCCTCTCCTCCCACGGGGACAGGGACAGGCTGGGGAGAGCTGCCTGGGAAATGGGGGCTCAGGCCATGGGGGTCCCCAGGTTTTGGGGAGGAGGTTGTTCCCTCAGAACCCAATTCCTCCCCTCCCACGGGCCCAGAGAAACCACAGTCCAGTGCAAAACTAACCAGAGTTTATTTCTTGTGCTGCTTTGACCCTACAAGGCTGAGGGATTTGAAGGCACCGAGGACATGGGGGACCCTCAACAGGCACTTGGGGCAGCCAAGGCACAAAACTGCAAGTCCCCAGCAAAGGGGACAAGGGACGGAGCTGGGGCAGGCAGGAGGGTCCCCACAGAGGCAGGCACAAGGTTAGGGGTGAGGAGGGCTGGGGGGGGTTTAGCAAAGGCTCCTAACGAGGATTTTTTGGGAGGAGGCGGGGAAGCAACCCAGGATTGCTACTCCATCTCCAGCTCCACCGAGCGCTTGCCCGAGGGCATGAAGGGTCCCACCAGCCACGTCAGGGGGGTGTTTACGGCCACGTGCTCCACCAGCTCGTCCATCAACTGCCGGGCTTTGGTGGCGTGGCCGCGGGCTCGGGCCAGCACGGGGCCAGTCACGTCCTGCAGGGAGGTGACCGAGGCCAGCGCCGCCCGCAGCTCCTCCACGTTGTGCCGGACCTGCCCCGCCGTGTCCTGGATGCTGCCGGGGAGGCCCTGCAGGCTGGACACCAAGGGCTGGCAGGAGCTCTGCAGCTGCTGGGTCAAGCCCTGCAGCATGGTCAGCGTGCCCGACTCCACTGCCTGCGGGGGGACATGGGGGGGTGAGGGCTGGGGGGACACCCCGGCTCACCCTGGGGACCCCCTGCCCTTCTCCTACCTCCGGTGACACTTGTTCCTTGCCACTGCCCGGCTGCTTCTTGTTCCACTCCAGCCACAGCTGCTGCAGCTTCTCCTGCCCTCCCTGCAGCCTCTGGTCCACGCCCTGCTTCAGCTGCTCCACCTGGGAGAGCGGCACAGCCCAGCTGGGTGGGGAGGCCACAGGGGGACACCCCGGGGTGGCACAGGGGGAGCGGGGCTGGGTCCTACCAGGTCGAGGGTGCGCTGGAGCTGGGCCAGCAGGTCCTGGCTGCTCTGGCGGGCACTCTGCAGTTTGCCCAGGGAGTGCTGGAGCGCTCGGTGCCGCACTTTGGTGGACAGGGAGCCCAGGCGCACGAAGTAGCTCTGCTGCTGCCTCTGCTGCTCCGGCTCGAAGCCCTCCACGGCCGTGGCCAGCTTGGCTGTGGGACAGGAGCTGCTCAGGGAGTCCCAGCACCACCATCACCACCCCACAGAGCCTGCCCTGCCCTGCCCGGGCTCTGCCCGCCCTCTCGGGAGGGTTGGGATCAGCTGCTCACCCAGCTCCTCATCCGTCATGGGCAGGTAATGATCCACCAGCTCCTCCGACTTGCCCAGCACGGAGCCCACCCCGCTGGCCACCATCTGGCCCACGGTGCTGACACCACTGCTGACCGCGGACCTGGTCAGCTCCACACCACCCTGCACGGCCCCTTTGGTCATGTCCATCACACCGGTCACTCGGCTGGTCACTGCATCCTTGGCTCCGGCCACGGTGCTGGACACTGCATCCTTGGCTCCAGCCACGGTGCTGGACACTGCATCCTTGGCTCCAGCCATGGTACTGGACACTGCATCCTTGGCTCCAGCCACGGTGTTGGACACTGCATCCTTGGCCCCGGCCATGGTGTTGGACACTGCATCCTTGGCCCCGGCCATGGTGTTGGACACTGCATCCTTGGCCCCGGCCATGGTACTGGTCAGCACATCCTTGGCCCCAGTCACCGTGGAGGTCACCAGCAGTTTGGTGTCTGAGATGAGCTGGGAGGACACACAAACTTCAGTTAAGCACTGGGGGAGCTCTGAGTGTGCTGCCCACCCCACCACACCCCACTACCTTCTGGGGGGGCTGCTGCAGGATGGGCAGCTTCTCCTCCAGCTTGTCCAGCCCTTTGCAGGCAAATTCATTAGCGGTGGAAACTGGAGATGTAAAAAACAGGTGAGTTCAACAAACACCCTACTGCCTTGCAGGAGCTCTGCTAGGGCCCATTTTCCATCACCCCAACATTCAGGGACAGCTGCCCCCACATCTTTTCTTCCAGCTTCTCCAACCCTTTACTCCTTGGCCATACAAACCAGAGAAACTAACCCAAGTCCTCCCTCTCCTCGTTGAGAGGCAGTTTTGGGGTCCCCCATGCCCGTGGGGCGCTGTCCCCGCCCCGCACTCACTCTGTGGCTCCAGCCGGGTGAGGAGGGGCTGGGCCCCGCTCGCTGCTGCTGCTGTCAGAGTCCTCACCCCCTTCTCGGCAGCGTCGCACACGGAGCGCACGTAGGGGTGGCTCTCCTTGGTGCAGGTGTAGGCAGACGACACCATGTCGTAGGCAGAGCTCACCAGGGGCAGGTTGGCCACGCGTGTCCCGATGCTCTGGGGGCCAGAAGGGCTCAGGGTGAGCGTGGGGGTGAGGAACCCCCAAATCTCACACGGAATGGTGTGTGCTGCACGTTCCCAGCACCCTGGGGATGGTTTTGAGGTGCTCCCAAGGCTCCCCAAGCCCATCTGAGGGTGGGATAACCCCGATCTCTGTCTCCGAGCAGGGACCCCGTGGATCGCCCCCAAATTCCCCCCCTTGCCCGCACTGACCTGCTGCTCCTCTGCCTTGGGTTGCGCCGGCGTGGGCTCGCTGGTGGCCATGGTGGGGCTGGGGGGCACAGGACGGGACCGTGAGTGGGGTCAGGGCCCCCCAAGCCCCGCTCCTGCCACCCGAAGGGAGGACCCCGAGTTACCCCTTCCCGGGACGGGGCAGCTCCCGCGCGGTTGGAACAACCCGGGACAGGGGGGTCCCTGGGACCGGGACCGGGATCGGGATCACGATCGGGATCACAGGCGGGACCGGGACCGAGATCGTGATCGGGACCGAGATTGCGATAGGGAACAGGACCGGGATCGGGACCGGGACCGGGACCGGGACCGGGATCGCGATCGGTTCCGGGATTGCGATCGGTTCCGGGATTGCGATCGGAACCGGGACCAGGATCGCGGACGGGCCCCGGATCGTGCTCACCGCTGGCGGCTGGGCTCGGTTCTGCTCCTCTCGGTTCGGCTCCGGGCTCGCCCCGCCGCCCTTTATACCCCGGAGCCCGCCCCGAGCGCATGTGACCGGAGCCGCCCAGCGGGGCCGGCCCGGGGCGGACCGGGAGCAGCGACCGGCGGGGAGCGCGGGGCCGGGAGGGCAGCGAACCCCCCGGAACCGGGAGGGGAGCGAACCCCCAGGAACCGGGAGGGCAGCGAACCCCCAGGAACCGGGAGGGGAGCGAACCCCCAGGAACCGGGAGGGCAGCGAACCCCCCGGAACCGCCTGCACCAAGTCCCCCGCCCACCATCGGAGCCCCCGGGACCCCGTTCCTGGGTCGGTGCTGCACTGACCCCTCCTCCCTGGTACCGGATCTCCCGGGATTGGGCCGCATGGACACCCCCTGGGGCCCGGACACCCCCGGGACCGGTCTGCACCGACCCGGTTCCCCGGGATCCAGCTGCAGGACACCCCGAGCCCGGAACTCCCCCCCACCGACACTGGTTCCCCCCGCCCCCGACCTTCCCTGGTCCCGATCCCCCCGAACAGACCCTGCCCCGACCCTCCCCAGCATCTCCTCCCCTCATGCGGTGCTCCCCCACACCTGGCCAGCTGCAGTTGGTCAAACTGGTACCAGTGGCAGGAGAAGGGCCAGTCCTGGGGTGCCCAGTGTCGCCCGAGTGGCTGCTGTGACCACGCTGCGCTTGTGACGTCGGGGATACCCCGGGGCGGGCCCAGCCCCTCGACAGTGACAACTGGGACAAAGTTCAGTGCCACACGGCTGCGGGTCACAGTCCAGATGTCCTGGCACCTTGTGGCGCCCTCTCTCCTAGCAATCCCCACGGAATCCCGTCCCACTTTCCCACCCCGCCCTCACTGAGCCCCCTCGGGGGTGCCCCCGGCCGTGCCGTCCGTGCGGAGCCCCCCGGCGAGCCCGGCACGGTGGCTCTGCCACAGCAATGCAGGCTCTGAGTCATTTTAAGGCCAAAAAACTTGTTTTCTTCCTATTTAAACTGTTTTGAAGCTGTTAAGACACAAAATCCCAGTGCTGCTGGGGCTCAGGGCAGCCCTGGATCCCAGACTCACGTTGTGAGTGAGTGCCACCACCCCCACAGCGACACTGGGGTCCCACGCTGAGTCACCAAGTCTATCATCCCCTCATTCCCGGTGGGATTTGGGGTCTTGGCTCCGGGTGGGTGCTCCCCCAGCTCACTGGCTCAGTGCTGGCAGACTTGGGGGGCAGCGGGCACCTGGTGCGTCCCCCCCACGGTGACACAGCCCTCCCACTTGGACATATCCACGGGGACATCCTCCGGGTACTCCACGAGCGCGGGGGCGAAGGGTCCCACGAGCCAGGGCAGGGGCGTGTGCTGCCCCACGTGCTCCAGCAGCCCCTCGAGGCTCAGCTGTGCCCGCGTCACCGCGTCCCGGCTCTGCGCCAGCACCAGCCCCGACAGGTCCTGGAAGGAGCGGGCGCTGGCCAGGGAAGCCTGGACGCCCTCCACGCCGTGCCGGACGTGTCCCGCTGTCTCCTGCACGCTGCTGGGGAATGCCCGGGCGCCGGCGGCCAGGTGGGAGCAGGCGGCGTGGAGCTGGTGCAGGAGTCCCTGGAGCATGGCCAGAGTCCGAGCCTCCACCTGTGGGATGGGCAGCGAGCAGCGAGGGCTGGAGGTGACGGACCCCAACCCTACCTGGATGGACCCACACCGGGACTCCGTGGTTGCTGTTCCACCCCTGCTCCAGGTGTCCCCTTGACACGTGTCCCCACCTCCAGGGACACATTGTCTGCTGTCCCCACCCTCTCCAGACGGAGCCATCTGTCCCCCACGGTCCCCCCGTCCCGTACCTCGCTGTCCTCCATGGGCACCTCATCCTGCTGGCTCCACTCCAGCCACAGGCCGTGCAGGTGCTCCCGGGTGCTGTGCCAGGGCCCGTCCGTGCCCCGCTGCCCCTCCTCGATCTGGGGGGGAAATTCAGCCAGGTGAGAGCACACCTGGGGGTACCTGGGGCCGGCACGGGGCTGGCACGGTCCCTACCCCATCCTTACCAGCCGGATGACGTGGTGGAGCTGGGCCAGGAGCCGCTGGGCACGGAGCCGTGCCCGCTGCAGGTCCCCCAGCGAGCGCCGCAGGGCCCGGTGTGGCAGCCGGGCTGACAGGGAGCCCACACGGACAAAGTAGCTCTGCCACCGCCTCTGCCGGTCCTTCACGGCCACCTCCGTGCCCCTGGTCACCTCCGTGCCCCTGGTCACCTCCGTGCCCGTGGTCTCCTCCGTGCCCGTGGTCGCCTCCGTGCCCGTGGTCTCCTCCGTGCCCGTGGTCTCCTCCGTGCCCGTGGTCTCCTCTGTGCCCGTGGTCGCTTCCGTGCCCGTGGTCGCCTCCGTGTCCCTGTTCTCCTCTGTGCCTGTGGCCACCTCCGTGGCTGCCGCCTCCGCTGCTGTGGGCCCAGGGGTGAGGGCAGCGTGGCTGGGCCATCCTGTGCTGGGCACTGGAGCCCAGCGTGAGCACCCACAGGATGCTCGGCCACCAGGTCATGTGGAGATGCCACCCTAAGCCAGGTGGCTTCTGTGGTCACATGGGGCCAGCTGTGCCTAATGTCACCCAGTGCCAAGCTATAAATACCCAGCCGGGCACACGGGACTATATTTGCCTTTGGGTTTCCAGGTGAGAGTTCACCCAGTGCCGTCCTGTGTCCTCCAGACAGGGACTGTCCCCTGCGTGGGGTCATGGTGGCCTCAGTGCTCTGGCACCACGGTGGGGCCACCATGACTTGGCAATACCAAGGCAGCACTGACCAACAGCAGGGTGAGGGTCCCAGGAGGGCTGGGCACCCCGAGATTTGGGAGATGATGAGCACTCACCCAGCTCCTCGTCCGTCGCGGGGAGGTACCGATCCAGCAGCTGCTCCGATTTTCCCAGCACAGTGTCCACACCCGTGGCCAGCAGCCGCCCCACACGCGTGCCCACCACGGCCCCGAGCGCCGAGCGCGTCCTCGCCACCACCCCGCCCACCGTGCACGACAGCAGCTCCCTGGTCCCGGCCACCACCTGCGAGGGGACAGCGCAGGGACAGCGCAGGGACAGCTCGTCCCCGCTCCTCGCTCAGCGCTGGGCCCTGCCCGTGTCCCCCGGGTGTCGTTACCCTCTCGGGGGGCTGCTGCAGGATGGGCAGCTTCTCCTCCAGCTTGTCCAGCCCTTTGCAGGCGAATTTGTTGGCGGTGGAAACTGGAGATGTAAAAAACAGGTGAGTTTAACAAACACCTTACTGCCTTGCAGGAGCTCTGCTAGGACCAGCTTTTGGGGCACCCCAAAACTTGTGAGGTGATTCCCCTCCAACCCTCCAGCTTCACCAGCCCTTTATTCATGGGTGATACAAACTGGAGATGTGAAACTCCCTCTCCTCCTGCCTCACGAGAGCTCGGTGAGAGGCAGTTTTAGGGTCCCCCATGCCCGTGGGGTGCTGTCCCCGCCCCGCACTCACTCTGTGGCTCCAGCCGGGTGAGGAGGGGCTGGGCCCCGCTCGCTGCTGCTGCTGTCAGAGTCCTCACCCCCTTCTCGGCAGCGTCGCACACGGAGCGCACGCAGGGGTGGCTCTCCTTGGTGCGCCCGTACGCCGAGGCCACGGCCCCGCAGGCGCAGCTCACCAGGGCCAGGTTGGCCACGCGGCTCACCACGCTCTGAGGGTGGGGGACAATGAGATGGGGTCCCCAGAGTCACCCGAAGCCTCCCCCCCGAACCCTCCGTGCTCCCCTACCTGCATCTCCGGCCCGGCCTCTGCCGGCACCGCGGCGTTTTCAGCCGACATGGCAGCGGCGGCTGCAGCGGGAAGAGGAGATTTTGGGGGGCCATGGGTGGGTGAGAATGGTGGGGACCCCTCGGGGGATGAGACCCCCAGCACCCCCCAGCCTCTGCTCCCTGAGGGCTGAGAGTCAGCACTTCCTGGCGGGTTCTGAGGGGCTCACGGGGTGTTATGAGGGGTCTGAAAGGGATTTTTGGGATGGGGTTTCCTTCTCCCCTGCCAGGAAACGGGAGGATTGCGTCGCCTCAGCCCGTCTTGGATCCCCCTAGCCCCTCCAGGAACCCCACACCCCCTTTTGGGGCCAGGGAGGGGTTTTTTTAGGTGATTCAGCAGAAGCCAGACCGGACTTGTCTGTCGCAATCCTGCGCTGAGGACGTGCGGTCAGTCACTGTCACCTGGGCCGGGGCAGTCCCGGGACCTCCGCAGGGACCCGAGCCGCGACAGACCCACCTGGCCCCCGACAGCCCCCCTGACCCCCGACAGCTCAGCCTGGCCCCCGACAGTCCCCCCGACCCCTGACAGCCCCTCCGACTTCCCGGCAGCCCCCCCTGGGCTCCGACAACCCATCTGCCCTTTGGGGTCTCCCGTGGCACCCCCTGTGCTCTCCGCGGGACGAGTTCTGGGGGATTTTGGGGGGTTCAGGCGGGTCACTGCTGGGGTCAGGTCCCTTTGCGACCCTGGCTTTGTTCCCTTGAGTTTCCAGGGGTCCCTGGGGTGTTCCGGGGACCTCGGAACCCTCGACCTCGCCTGGACCCCCGGAAGCCCCCGGGGACCTTCGGACTCGCCCCGGGACCACCCGGAGCCCCCCCTGGAGCCTTTCCGGAGCCCCCCCGGGACGCCCCCGGCCCCATTTCCCGCCCTCCCGCTCCCGCCAAGCCCCGGGCACGGTACTCACGGGGCTGGGGGTGGGGTTCTGTCGCGACCCCCGGGAGAGATCGCGACCCCGGGCCCCGCCCAGCCCGGACCCGCGGGGTCGCGAGAGCCAATCAGCGGAGGGGCGGGGCAGGGGTTCCACCAATGAGGAGCGATGGGCGTGGCCGAGGGCGGGGCTTGGCGTTCGGGCGCGCTCGTCGTGGGGTCCGGGGACCGAGCGGGGACAGCGGCGGCGACAGCGGGACCCAGCCCGGTCACCTCTCACGTGTCCCCCGCCGAGGGACCCCGTGCCCGCTGTTGTGCCCCAGCCCCAGGTGTCTCCGCCCCCGTTATCCCCACCCCTGGTGTCCCCATCCCAGGTGTCCCCTTGCCACGTGTCCCCTTGCCACTTGTTCCCACCTCAAGGGACTCAATGGCCGCTGTGCCCACCCTCTCCAAGTGTCCCCATCCTGGTGAAGCAAAGCCAGGAGACCCGATGGCCGCCAGCCCAGATGTCCCCACCCCTGGCGTCCCCACGCCAAGGGACGCAATGATTGGCGTCCCCAAGGAACCCAACGCCAAGTCTCGCCATGTCAAGTGTTCCTTTGCCAGATGTCCCCACCCCAGGTGTTCCCGTGCCACCAGAGCCCCTCAGGTGCCAGGTGTCCCCCAGCCCCCGCGGGTGCTCAGGCCAGGGGACAGCAATGACGGGGGGCAGAGGGCCGTGAGTGACCCCCGTGGGGCACGAGACGGCCGGGAAAGGGGACAGGCAGGGGACACGGGCAGAGACACGGTGCCGGCACTGCCTTATCCCAGTGGGGATATCCCCAGTGGGGTGGGGACTTTGGTGGGGCCGCGTGTGCGGGGAGGGGCGTGTGGGGGCCCGGGGGTGCGTGGGGAGGGGCTGAGCGCGGGTGGGCGCGGGTACCCATGGAGGTGGTGTCACCCTTTGTCCCCCAGCCCTGTGCCCCCCTCCCCCGATCTCTCCCGCCTCCCGGGGGGGTTCAGAAGGGGTCGAGGCGGCGGCGGGGGAGTCGCCTCCGGTAACCGGGTGTTTATTGGGGCCGCGGGGTACAGCCCGCGGGCGGCCGCATGCATGGCCGCTGGGGGGGGGCTCCCGCCGCCCCCTGCCCTATTTACAGCCTGCCACCCCCTGGGGACCTGCCATCCCCCAGGGACCTGCCACTCCCCCGCGACACGCCACCCCGGGTGGGTGCCAGGCAGGGGTGGCACCGAAAGGGCACCCTTTGCCAGCAGAGAGTGGGTTCGGTGGGACCCCCCAGCGGTGCCCCCCACCCCGGCTGTGCTTTCCAGGAGGGGGTGCCGGGAGGGGGAAGGATGAGCAACCCCCAGGCTGGCACTGGGAAGGGGTTGACCCCAGACTGGGGGTGGGAGTGTGCCCCATCCCCAGATAACGCCACATTCGGGGGGACCCCAGCTCCCCGCACCCAAAATGTTCACCAGGTTCCATCACCACAACCAGTGCACCCCCGGCCGGGTGTCCCCAGGGGGCTGGCAGCACCCAAAAGCCCCCCCCGGGTGCCACTGACGGGCCGAGGGGCTGGGGCCCGGGGGGCACAGCCCAGCGCCCATGTCCGTGTGTCCATCCTGCTGCCCCCCAGGGATCCCCGTCCCAGGGTGCTGCGGGCCCTGGGTCCAGCCTGGGGAGGGGACACGATGGACGGCCCCCCCCGGCATATGGGACAAAGCAGCCGGAGCGCAGGGCACCGCCCCACGCCAGCCGGGGACACCCCCAAACCCTATCCGGGGGCACCCAGGGGGTGCCTGTCCCCCCCTCACCAATGCAGCACCTCAGCCCATGCCCGCAGCTCCTGCCCGGCCACCCCTCCCTGTCCCCAGGGAGCCGGGGGCCCCATCAGTGTCCTGGCGAGGGGGACGCACACAGGGTGGGACCCTATTTTCCCGAGGGAGTCCGCTCCACGCCGTAGCGCAGGAGGTGGTGCAGGTCCGTGAGCGGCCGCGGGGTGCCCGGTGCCCGCGCTGCCCGGTGCCGCCCGTAGCCGCCCGCCGCCGCCTCGCCGCTGTTGAAAGTGTGGTTCCTCTTGAGGTGGGCGCCGGGGCGGCCCGTGCCGTTGTTGGCGTTGAAGTTCAGCTGCTCGGGGTGCCAGGGCGGCCCCTCGGTAAAGTCTCCCCCCTCCCCGCTGGGTGCCGAGACCACCCGCCGGCGCTCGGGGCTGGGGTGCGGCGTCCCGCCGAAGTCGCCGTAGGAGCTGCGGGGCGGGCGGCGGGCGCCGGCGGGTGGGTGCTGCCGGGTGCGGGGACCCTCCTGAGGGTCCCGACCCCAATGCCCGTCACCTGAGGAGTCGCTGAGTTCGGCCTCCAGCTCCTGGTCCACCAGGATGGCGTGGCAGGAGAGGGGGATGCCCCGCGGCGGGCGGCCGGAGCCGCCGTGCCCCCGCCCGGCGCCCGCGGGGCCGGAGCCGCCAGGGTCCCGCAAAGCCGCGTTGATGATGTTGTGACTCTGCTCCCACGTGCAGTTTTGGAGGGCGCCGGGGCAGCGTTTCTGCTGCAGCGGGGTCTGCTCCGGCGTGGGCAGCACCCCCGAGTCCAGGTCGTGTTGGGTGACCTTGCCCAGCTCCTTGGGCCACCCGTTGGGCATGAGCGGGGCCAGCAAGGCGCCGCGCGCCCGCCGCTCGCCCAGGCGGCTGACGCTCACCACCGACTCACTGTGCGCCAGGATCGTCTCCTTGTCCTTGCGCCTCGCCAGCTCCTTGCGGTCCCGGTGCCCGATGAACCAGCACACGCTGAAGCCGGAGATGACGGCGCCGATAACGAAGGCGGCGACGGAGGAGATCACCAGGAGGTTCACCGACACCAGCCCGTCCGGCTCGTCCACGAAGCTCTCCGTCACCAGTCCTGGGGTTGGGGACACGTCAGGGCACCTGCGAGTGCCACCACCACGTCCCCGAGCCCGGTCCCGGCCCCGCGCTCACCCTCGCACTCGCCCAGGTGGGACGTGCTGCCGCCGGCGATGTCCTGCTCGAAGGTCACCCTGGGGTGCAAATTGGGGAGGGTCAGTGGGTCCCAAATGGCCTGGCAGAGTCTCCCATCCCCCTTCAGCGAGTTTGTTGGGGCTCAGCGACTGGGGACTGCAGCACCCGATGCTCTCTGGGGACACCGCTGTCCCCCCTGCATGTCCCCCAGGCCTGGCGGCGTTACCTGGGGCTGGGCTCCAGGAAGATGCAGGAGCCCTCGGGGGTCCAGCCGCAGTAGGGATCCCGGCTCCCGAGGCAGTTCCTGGCAGGGAGCAGAGATGTCAGGGCCGGCCCTGATGGGGGAGACACAACACCCCGGCCCCCCCGAGAGCCCCTGCCCCGCCCCGTGCCGTGCCTCAGTTTCCCCAGCCGTGCTCCCGGCCGTGCTGAGCCCTGATCCCAGCACGGTGAATTCCTGGGGTGTGAGGTTACTCCTTGCACAGCTCCCACCCCGGCCCAGCCCGAAGCACTCACTTCATGCAGCCCGAGTGCTGCTGGCAGCGAGCCACGGGCACCCTGGCCACGCACGGGGGGAAGGCCAGCAGCAGCGACCCCGCAGCCTTGTCCAGCTCCATCCCCAGAAGCCGCCGCTCGTCCTCCGTGTCCCGGCCACACCTGGGGACAGGGCAGAGCTGTCACAGCCCCAGCCCTGCTCCACAGGGCCCTCCACAGAGCCTGCCCCAGTCCAGAGGAGATTTTCTCATCCATTCCCCCCACCCTTGCATCCATCCATCCATCCATCCATCCATCCATCCATCCATCCATCCATCCATCCAAACACGCCACCCACCCCTTTTGTCGCCCCCTCTCCCCCCTCTGGCACCCTGGCTCTCACCTCCCGGGCTGGTAGGTCTCAAACTCCTCCAGGAAGACGCTCTGGCTGCCGGGGGCGGCGGGCGCGGGGCTGCGGGTGGCGTTGGGCAGGATGAGGAACTTGAGCACGGTGCCGGTGCTGGAGCCCAGGAACACCACGGTGTGGTTCCCCCACGGCCCCGCCGCGGTGTCCACCGCGATCTTACGGAGCTGGTACCTGCATGGGGGACGGAGCAATGTTGGGGTGTGGGGGAGTCCAGGTGTCCCCAGGGTGGGGGAAACAGGGGCAGGGTGAGTGACCCAGCCCCACAATCCCCACAACCCCATCTCCATGTCCCCAGCTCCAGCCCCACAATCCCTGTCCCCATCCCCACTCCTCCGTCCCCTGTCCCCATCCCATGTCCCTATCCCCATCCCCACCCCCAATCCCCAGGTCCCTGTCCCCATTCCATGCCCCTGTCCCCATCCCCGCTCACGCCACGGCTGCCCTGCCGGCGGGAGGCTGCGGCCCGAGAACGCCGCTTGATTAATTCCCCATCAAGCAGCAATTAAGGCAGATTTAATTAGGACGAGACAATCTTGACTGCAAAGTGTATGAGATTTATCAGCTCTCCCAGCGCTCCCAGTGCTGGCACAAGCGTGGAAAGGCGGCACGGGAGGCTCTGACCAGCACCTCCCATCCCTTCCAGCCCTCCCAGTTCCCCCCAGCCCTCCCGGGCACCCACCGGCTCATGGTGCGGAGGATCCAGGGGGCGTTGCCCAGGGCCGGCACCGCCTCGTCCATCAGCGGGTGCGTCTTGACGAAGTTGAGGATCTCGTCGGGGAAGGCGCTGGAGGAGTTGTAGCGCATCCCCGGGGACGCGCAGCACCCGGGCCTGCGGCCACGGCACGGCTCAGTGGCGCTGTCCCCATCCCTGTCCCCATCCCAGCGGGTACTGGCCGCTGTCCCTGTCCCCAGCTCCGTTCCTTTCCCCAGCCCCAGCCCTGTCCCCAGCCCCATCTCCACCACCCTGCTGCAGCCACCGGAACTGCTCCTTGCTGTCCCCATCCCTGTCCCTCACCGTGGCTTTGGCACCATGTCCTCTGGCACGGGTGTCCAGATGGACTCGGGTGATTTCTGCTCCCGGAACCGTCCCTCGAAGACGGCGGCCACTTGGGTCATGTCGAAGGCGCAGACGGCGGAGCCGGGAATGCTGTGGGGACACGGCTGTGGGGTGAGCACAGAGGGGGGCCCCGGGCAGTGCGAGGGGCCCTGCAGATCCCAAATGGAAACGAGTCCAAATCCTGTGCAGAACCCTACCCCAGACCTCACCCAGATCACCCCAGATTCCACTCAGGATCCAGCCTGGAGTCCAGCCAGATCCCAGCTCAGATCCTACCGAGCCTGGGGATCCAGGCAGGGCACAGGAGGCTCTGACCTGTTGGTGGGCGTGGAGAACATGGCCAGCACCACGGGGCGTCCGTCCAGCTCCAGGATGTCGGTCACGGCTTGGATGACGTTGAAATAGAAGTGGGAATCGCCCGGCACGGAGCAGTTGAGCCGGGCCTTGAGGAAGGACGTCCACTGCTTCTCCAGCACCCGCTGCGAGCCCCCCATGTCGTTCTTGCACACCCGGGCCACCCGTGACACCACCACCTGCGGGGGGGGGACACCGTCACCACCCAACCCCAACGGCCGTCCCTGTGTCCCTGTCCCCACCCCAAGTGTCCCTGTGGGTGTGACAGAAGGGGTTGGGTCGGAAGGGAGTGTGGGGGTCACCGACTTCACCTTCTCCAGGTAGTTGAACTCCATGGCGATCTCCCGGAAGAAGAAGTAGACGTGGCTCCTCCATTCCACAGCGTGCACAAAGTAGGGCTCTGCAGGGACAGCGGGGTCAGGGGTGGCCCAGGATGGTCCCAAGGGACACGTGCCATGTCCTGGCACAGCTAAGGGTGGGCACACACCTTTGAACCACTTGGAGTCGTGTTTGACGGTGCGCAGGGTGGGGCTGTCCCCGAGGCTCCGGTAGATGACGGCGTCGATGGCCAGGAAATCCGTCACCGTGGCCGTGAAGAGCATCCCCCCTGCACGGGACAGGGTGTCAGCGGGGCTGGGAGACACAGTGCCCGCTGTGACACTGGCAGTGCCACCACTGACCTGTGAACAGGGCCACGTTGGCGTGCTTGGGGTCGTAGGGACACCGGGCCATGCCGCTGATGTTGTCCCCAACAGGCTCCAGCGTGTCCATCTAGAGGGGGTGACAGAGGGACATGAGGACACAGCCGGGCACGGGGGGAACCCGGGGTCCCCATCCCCAGGGGGCTCAGGCTGGAGTTGGCACAGACAGAATTGAAGGTGTTGATGCTGCAGACCCTTCCCATGGGTGTCCCCTTCTGTCTTCACCCCAAAGCCCCTCCCATGGGTGTCCCCTCCGTCCCTGACCCCGAGCCCTCCTCCCACACGGGGTCCCCTCCCGGGGGGCTCACGCTGTAGTTGGCGCAGACGGGGTTGAAGGCGTTGGTGCCGCACACGAACAGGAGGCTCTCGTTCCTCACCAGCAGCACCTTGATGAAATTTCGGCACTCTGCCTGCGCCGGGAGAGGGGATCGTCACCCTCAGCACCCCAACCCCCCCCCACCTCATCCCACCCCACCCGGGACCTCATCACTGGAAGGGGATGGCTTGGGGGGGGGGCTCTTCTCAGCCCAGAACTGCATTTATGGGAGCTGGGAATGGGATTTCTGTCCCCTAATAATTAATTACAAATCAAATTAGCCAAGCGGCCAATAAATCAGAGACACAACTGGCAGGGAGCGGGGCGGTGACACTGAGAGGGGACAGGGTGTGACACGGTCACAGGGGGTGCTCAGCCCCCCTCCCGGGGGTCCCCATGGGGTGCAGATCCCCCAGCCCGTACCTCGTGCTTGCCCTTCATGCGGCAGATGCTGATGTCGTGCTGGTTCGAGCGCCACGTCAGCTTCTGCGGGGAGGGGGGGAAAAGCAGTGTGGGGACAGGGAGAAACCAACAGCACCCTTGAGACCCCCCTGAGACCCCCCTGAGACCCCCCTGAGACCCCCCTGAGGCCCCTCAGGGCTCCCTGGGCCCCCCAGCACTTACCCGGTGGTAGCGCAGCTCAGCGGCCCCGCTGGGCTCCAGGCTGACCCTATAGACGTTGTCCCTGGGGAAGGGGACACGGGTGTCACCACCCCACAGCTGGGATGAGCCCCCCAGCGTTGGGGGTACAGGATCAACCCCCACCCCACCTCCCGGGAAGGTTTGGGGTGCTGGGGTGGGCAATGAACCTCACCAGGGCAGTGTCAGTGCCAATGAACCCCCCCAATGCCCCATGGCAGATTTGGGGTGCCCTGGGCAGGCAGTGGGGTCCTTCCCAGCCAAGGGGAGTGGGGTGGATGTGGGAGGGGAGGCTTTGGGGTGCCGGGGTCCAGACCTGTCCCCGATGAAGAGGGTCCTGTTGACCTTGAGGATGCGCTGGATGTTGAGGCGCTGGGTGCTCCCCGCCTCGGGGCCCCCCGGGCGGGCGGTGCCGTGACCCACGAACACGGGGTAGTGCTTCACATCTGGGGGGGGTCACACGGGGGTCACACGGGGGTCACACGGGACCGGGCACCCCCGCACAGCCCAGGTGACCCCAACACCCAGCCCTGCCCAGGGGAGGCACCTCTCTCCTGCCTTCAGCCCAAAATCCCCCCTATTGGTGCCCCCCACCTGCCTTAACCCCAAACCACCCCAAAACCCCTCCCATAGGTGCCCCCAAAAGTAACCCAAAGCCCAGCCGTGCCCACGGGTGGTCCCATCCTATCTTCATCCCAAAACTCTCCCTCGGGTGCCCCCTCCTGCCTTCACCCCAAATCATCTCAAACCCCCCTCCCTTTCCATGCCAAGCCGTGCCCCCCCTGTGCCCCAGCGCAGCACCGCGGCCCCCCCAGCCCCGGGTGGGCACTCACAGTCCGGGGGGGCCACGGCGATGGGCCCGGGCTCCTCGGGGAAGGTGCCCCTCGCCGTCCTCTCAGCCGCCAGCAGCAGCAGCAGCACCAGGGGCACGCGGGGTGGGGGTCCCATGGCGACCCCCGCCCTGGGTGGGCACCTGCGGGCACGGGCAGGGCTGGGAGGGGCAGCACCCACAGAGGTGCCCCCCCCGGAGCGCCCCAAACCCTCCGGTGTCACTGGGGATTGGGGCCACGCCGGTGGTTTGTCACCAGCAGCACGTGGGGAAGCCACTGTTGGTGACAGGGCAGGGCTGGGGACTTGGGGACAGGAGGATGATGACACCTGGACAGGGGGACATGGGGACACGAGGACGTGGGGACAAGTGGGAAGCCAGGGATGTTCTTCTCCCTCCCCAAACGCCACCGGGATGTCTCGGAAAATCTCCGGGGACACTTCAGAGTGTCACAGCACCCCCCATCCAGACAGCCCCAGTGCCACCGACGCTGTCCCCACACCACGCTGGGCCACCCTGTCCCGTCCCCGAGGGGCTGGGTAATTAGCAGTCGGGCAGGGAATTAATTGATCGTTAATTCCACGGGAGCAGGGAGCGGGAGCGATCGAAGCGGCGCCCTCCTGCCCCGCGGGGACCGAGCACGGGTGACATTGTGTGGGGCTGGGTGTCACAGGGCCTGGACACCGGGCGGTGTCACCGCGGGGGTGGGACGCGTCCCCAGCCCTTCCGTGGTGTCACCGGCCCCGGGTGAGACCCGGCACTGTCCCCAACCCGGTCCCCGGGGACATCTGACCCCGTCCCTGCTGTGGCACAGCCCCCGGGCAGGAGGCGACCCCAGTGGGACCTGACCCTGGTGTCACAGCCCCTGGGGACAACTGACCCCATCCTCAGGGTGTCACGGCCCCCGGGACACCCAGCCATGTCCCCACTATCTCAGGCACATCCAAACCTGTCCCCGCATTGCCACAGCTCCCAGAGACACCCAGCTTTGTCCCCATGGTGTCCCCAACAAGCAGGAAATGAGCTCTTTGTGGCGCGTTTGTCACATAGCAGAGCCCGAAAGCCACCAAGAACCGGGGGGAGCAAGGGGGGGACCCCAAAAAACCACCCCGGGGAAGGGTTCGGTGTCCAGCGGCCACCTGGGAACCCGCCCAGGCCGGGTGGGGTTTGGGGGCCGGGGGGGCCCTGCCTGGAACCCCGAGCGGGGGTTGTGGTGTCACCGTCCCCCAGTGCGGTGACAGCGAGCGGGCTCAGGGTAACCGGAGCCTCCGGCGCCATAAATGCCGGCGATTGTGCGGGAAAAGAAAAGGCAGCGGGAAGAGGGGGGCACGGGGAGGAGGAGGGGGCGCGGCGGGGAGGGGGACACGGCAGCAGGGGGGTGACAAACAGGGACCCATTCACGGCGGCGGCGGAGCAGGGGGACGGTCCCCGTGCGTGTCCCCAGAGCGGCTGTGGGGAAACTGAGGCAGGGGTGAGAGGGGGGGGGATGTGCCGGGGGTGAGGGGGGGTCTGCGCTTGGGAATCTCCGACACGGAGCGGGTGAGCAGCGTCGGGCATGTCCCTTGTCCCTGTCCCTGCTCCGTGCCTCAGTTTCCCCATCCCAGAGCACGCTCAGCCCTCACCCCGCACACACAGAGTTTTGGGGGGCGGTGGCAGCTGTTTGCTCTGTCCCACCCCCCCCTCCAGCATCTCGGCGACCCCCGGCAGTGGGGAATGGGGCGGGAATGGAGGGCAGTGTCCCCAGTGTCCCCCCCTCTCGCCGCAGTTCCCAGCGGCTCCGAGCGCAGCGGGATCGCTCTGATCCCACAGAGGAGGGGTGTCCCTGCTGGGGGGGTCACTCTGTCCCCCCCTTCACGTCCCTTTTCGGGGGTGGGAGCCCTTCCCGTGGCATCTGCCTGCTCCCCCCGCCTCAGTGTCGCGCTCTGCCCACCTGAGCTGCTCCGGCCGCCTCCGCCGCTGGCGCGATGTCACCACTGTCCCCTCCGCGCGCGGGGGGGTCCCATAGCTGGGGGTGGGCACCCCCTCTCCAGGGTGGGCACCCCCTCTCCAGGACGCCCCGGCGGCGCTGGGGGCTCCGAGCGCTCTCAGCTGTCACATCAACCCCCCGCGACCCCCAGGGGAGGGGGCCCGCGCCCCCCGCCCGCGCCAGGTGGGAAGGTAGGGCTGGGTGATGTCACCGTAATCGGAGCCACCAACCCCCCCCGCCGCCACCCTGGCAGCTGTCACCGCAGCCAGGGACCCGGGGGGGCACCCATGGGACCCCCGAGCGGCACCGCGGTGTCCCCAGGGGAAAGCACGGAGCCACCGGTGAGACCACCCCCACCCCGGACACAGAGAGGGCACAGCGGGGTCCCCCCCAGCCTCACCGGGACCCCCATCCAGTGGGAAAGAGGGGGGGACACACCGGGAATGGGGGGACACACAGGAAATGGGGGACACACAGTGGGAAATACGGGGGGCAGTGGGAAAGGGGGAGCACGCAGGAGAATGGGGGGGACATTGGGAAGGGGAGACACACTGAGGAATGGGGGGTGGGAAAGGCAGAGGACACCAACAATGAAATGCCTTAAAACGCAACTTTTTGGGAATCCCGTCCCCTGTTTAATCTCCATATCCACATCCCATCCATCGGTCTAATGTTGGATTTTGGGGTCATTTCCTTCAAAAGGCGCCCAACGCCAATAAGAAATCAGTAATTAGATATGCTAATGAGGCTTTACACACCCCCCCCACATGCTCCAGACCCCCAAAATATGGCCCCCTGTGCCCTTGCCCAGGGGGGTCACACAGTGTCGCCCCCATTGCCACAGAGGGGCTTGGGGGTCACCAGCAGTGCCCCCCCCCATCCGTGGGGACCCCCCCAATCCCAGCTGCTGCTGCCGCCGGGGCTGGGGGGCTGAGCCCCCCCCGGGTTTCCGTTCCGGGCCCGGTTCAGATGGCAGAGCCAGGAAGCAGCTGTCCCCACGGCAGGGACGGAGCAAATGTCACCCCGGCCACCTGGCACCGCGCGCTGGCCTTGTCCCTGTCCCTGTCCCTGTCTCCTGCCGTGGGTCCCCCCCTTTCCAAGCACCAGCACCCCCAGAGCTGCAGGGGTGCCCAGAGGATGGGGAAACAGCGGCACCGGGGGGGGTCCCCGCGTGGTGACAGGGATGGAGGGGGTCACCGTGGTGCCGGCGGGGGGGACACAGCTCCCACCATTTACCTTGGCGCTTCCACGGCCCCGCCGGAGGCTCAAATGTCCCCCCGGGCCTCCCGCTCCGGTTACCGGCTCCGCTTACAGCTGCCGTTTATAGCCCCGGGCCCCGTCCCTTGTCCCTGTCCCCTCCCCATCGCCCACCGGGTGGGGACACAGGCCCCCGAGCCCCCCAGGACACCGCAAGCCACCAAGGGCGTCCGACAGGGGCACGGGGGATGGTGGGGACCCCGCGGTCACCTTGGGTGGCTTTGTCACCCGCCGTGGGTGCCCAGAGGTGGCCCCGGTTGCCGGGCACCCCCTCGGCACCCCCAGGGTGACACCCATGGGTGCCCCGACACGTCCCTTGTCCCTCCCAGCACGCCGGCGGTGCTGGTGGCCGGCCAGAGCCGCATGGTGATTTGCATATTAAATACAGGCTCATCTGCATATTAAGGACGGTTTCCTAGCGAGGAGGATCACGCGTCACGCCGAAATAAACTCCGGGATGGGGGGGGGACACAGAGGGGGTGGCAGACGGAGCGCTGTGTGCCGCCCCAATTCACAGCCCTTGTCCCCTCTTGTCCCCCCGGTTCACAGCCTTTGTCCCCTGTTGTCCCCCCCGAGTTCCACGGGACAGGATCCTCCCGTCCTGCTACTCTCCCCAAACCACTTGTCCCTATTCACACACATCCCCCCAAAAACTGTCACCTCCCCTTGTCCCCAAAGGGGCACATTCCCACCCCTCCTGTCCCTCCAAAACAGCCATTCCCCTCATCCCCCTTGTCCCCAAAGCCTCACATGTCCCCTTGTCCCCAAAGGCACTCACCTGCCTCGTCCTATGCCACCCCAGGGGCTCCGTGCCCTGGCGGGGTCCCCTGGATGTCACCCTGTCCCCTCTCTTTGGTGCCCGCATGGCCCCAGGGCGGTGACAGGAGCAGTTCCGGCTGCCCCGAGTCACCGTCCCGGCCTCGTGCCTCAGTTCCCCTTCGGCACGGGAAGAGGGAACCCCCTGTTCCTGCCCCGAGCCTGGGCACCGCCCTGGGAACCCCCACCCAAAGCCCTGCCAGTCCCGGGATGGCACCTCCCCCGTCCCCAGGGATCCTTGTCCCCAGGGATTCCTGTCACCTTATGGAGCCCTGTCCCCAGGGTGTCCCTGTCCCCAGGGTGTCCCTGTCCCCAGAGTGTCCCTTTCCCCGTGGATCCCTGTCCCCGTGGGTGTCCCCGAGCAGGCAGAGGGACACCAGCCCCGGGTCCAACCCCACAGGAGACCCTACAAAAACACCCTGCGGTGTTTACATCCGGCTCCAGGCGGGAACCCTGCAATTACCTGCCAGGACATGGAACCCCGGCATTCCCGGGATGGGAGGCTGCTGAACACACCCACACCACCCACCGACACCCCAAACCCACCCCAAAAACACCCCAAAAAACAGCCCAGCCCCCAGAGAGCAGCCCTACAATGACACCCCACGGATCCCAGAGCCAGAGGAGCCGGGGGGGGCTCCGGGAGGTTGGGACCAAGGGTCAGCCCCACAGCCGGGTCAGTTTTTAAACCCTAATAAAGTTGCGTTGTAGTTTTGGGGTTTGTTGGCATTCGGGTCCCTCCTCCCTGTGACAGCTACGCTGCTCCTGTCAGGAAAACGGAGCTGTTCCAACTCTCCCGCCCAGATTATCTTCAAACTCTTGTGTTTAAATAAAGTTAAATATCTGCTGGGTTCAACGGGGCAGAGAGGGGCTGGGGATGGCAGTGTCACCTTAGTGTCACCTCAGTGTCACCGTAGCCTCGCCATCCTGCTGTCCCCAAGGTGATGATGGCCCTGGAGGTGGCACTCAGGGTGCCCACCGTCCCTCCTGGAGCCATCTAGCTCCCAGGAGCACCAGGGGATGGGGACACCCGAGGGGACAGGAGTCACGGCCATCCCCAGCAAATCTCCTCCCGCCATCACCAGTGTGCCCAGAGGGTGACAAAGTGACAAGTGGCTTCCGGTGCCAAGGTGTGGGTGAGAGCACGTGAGCCTTCGCCCTGCGGCCT